ATATATATATATATATATATATATATATATATATATATATATATATATATATATATATATATATATATATATATATATATATATATATATATGTGTGTGTGTGTGTGTAAATCACGAAATTTAACGTGATGAAAAATATGACAGTGTCAGACCACGGAGGAAGAATTTAAACATAAATTTCCTCAAGTATTTTCGTATTTAATAATACATTTTCACCCTTCTGAAGATGTATTATTAAATACGAAGGTATTTAAGGAAATTCCTATTAAAATTCTTCCTCCGTGGTCTGACAGTCATATATATTACATGTATACCTAAAAGGGGTACCACCTCTGGTGCAAGTGTAGGGACCCATAGCCTTGGATAAGAAAATAAAGAGTACTCAGAGAAGATCTAGTGGATCCTCACTAAACACTTATTTTCTTCTCCTACCACCCTTATATTTTTTATTAAAGGTATTTTTACGTTGAATATAAACTAGAAGCATGATGAAAGACTGACGGAACTAGATGTCACCTCATTAGGAAAGAAAAAGGTAGAAGTAGACATGATCACAACATAAGAGATTACTATTATGTGGGGCAATGACAAAACGTTTAGCAAGAAGAGGGGGATATAGGTGGAAACTATAAACCCAGATACGTGACAATATCAGAACCAGATTTGCCGTTACGGTGAAATTAACCACTTATTCAGAAGATGGTTTGATTTGGGGCTAAGGCATCAACCACCCTTCGGAGTTAAATTCAGGCCATCACAATGGCTTATTGAACTCTGTGTATACACCGAGAAGCGGGGTTCACCTCTATAGCTGGATAAGCTATAGAGGTGAACCCCACCTCTATAGCTCAGTGAACCTCTACCTCTATCTCATGGGAGGACACCCAGAATTTAGAGGTAAACTACGCTAACCCTAGTTAAGGTTTGATAAACAAAATAATATGACAGTCCTGGTCCATAATATCAGACGCTCGGTGCCTATTGTGGTCCATACTAACAGAAGTTGGTCCATACTAGCAGGTGGTGGTCCATACTAGCAGGTGGTGGTCCATACTAGCAGGTGGTGGTCCATACTAGCAGAAGTTGGTCCATACTAGCAGAAGTTGGTCCATACTAGCAGAAGGTGGTCCATACTAGCAGGTGGTGGTCCATACTAGCAGGTGGTGGTCCATACTAGCAGGTGGTGGTCCATACTAGCAGGTGGTGGTCCATACTAGCAGAAGTTGGTCCATACTAGCAGAAGCTGGTCCATACTAGCAGGTGGTGGTCCATACTAGCAGGTGGTGGTCCATACTAGCAGGTGGTGGTCCATACTAGCAGGTGGTGGTCCATACTAGCAGGTGGTGGTCCATACTAGCAGGTGGTGGTCCATACTAGCAGGTGGTGGTCCATACTAGCAGAAGTTGGTCCATACTAGCAGAAGCTGGTCCATACTAGCAGGTGGTGGTCCATACTAGCAGGTGGTGGTCCATACTAGCAGGTGGTGGTCCATACTAGCAGAAGTTGGTCCATACTAGCAGGTGGTGGTCCATACTAGCAGGTGGTGGTCCATACTAGCAGGTGGTGGTCCATACTAGCAGAAGTTGGTCCATACTAGCAGAAGCTGGTCCATACTAGCAGGTGGTGGTCCATACTAGCAGGTGGTGGTCCATACTAGCAGGTGGTGGTCCATACTAGCAGAAGTTGGTCCATACTAGCAGGTGGTGGTCCATACTAGCAGGTGGTGGTCCATACTAGCAGGTGGTGGTCCATACTAGCAGAAGGTGGTCCATACTAGCAGAAGGTGGTCCATACTAGCAGGTGGTGGTCCATACTAGCAGGTGGTGGTCCATACTAGCAGGTGGTGGTCCATACTAGCAGAAGGTGGTCCATACTAGCAGAAGGTGGTCCATACTAGCAGAAGGTGGTCCATACTAGCAGAAGGTGGTCCATACTAGCAGGTGGTGGTCCATACTAGCAGAAGTTGGTCCATACTAGCAGAAGCTGGTCCATACTAGCAGAAGCTGGTCCATACTAGCAGAAGCTGGTCCATACTAGCAGGTGGTGGTCCATACTAGCAGAAGGTGGTCCATACTAGCAGGTGTGGTCCATACTAGCAGGTGGTGGTCCATACTAGCAGGTGGTGGTCCATACTAGCAGAAGGTGGTCCATACTAGCAGAAGGTGGTCCATACTAGCAGAAGGTGGTCCATACTAGCAGGTGGTGGTCCATACTAGCAGGTGGTGGTCCATACTAGCAGGTGGTGGTCCATACTAGCAGAAGCTGGTCCATACTAGCAGAAGCTGGTCCATACTAGCAGAAGGTGGTCCATACTAGCACAAGCTGGTCCATACTAGCAGAAGCTGGTCCATACTAGCAGAAGCTGGTCCATACTAGCAGAAGCTGATGAACACCCCCCCCCCCCAACACACACAAATCCAGATATTAAAATTATTAAATTTCCCATCTATATTAATCAGCTTAAATAACAATAATAATAATAATTGCCGTAAGCAGATAATTTATTATTTAATTGCAATCATTTTTAAATTCCATAAAGTTAACTAAACTATGGGTTTACCGGCAAGTCTTCAGTGTAGATACATAAAGTGTTAACATATACATTGAAATTATATAAACATTACATAAATATATAACTGTACATACACCGAAAAGATGAATTCACCGAGTTTCCTTTAGACCTTTACTATCTCTAGGACTAAAGTACAATTGCTATGTGTTCGATAAAGCTGTTCGTGACCTTAATAATCCTCCAGAGAGTGATATAGGCCTTCAGCACCAAAATCAATATATGGATATACTAAACTATTTTGTTATCCTTTCTACTAACGGCTTCCGCGCCAATCCGCTATAAGGTTAATTAACGAACTCGTAATCACGTGGTTAAATTATACCGCTGGGGATTAATCTTGTGGGCCTAAACGAGTGACAGTATCAGGATTGGTAGTGGTGGTGGTAATAGTAGTAGTAATAGTGGTAGTTGTGGAAGAGGTGACAGTAATGGTGGTAGTTTAGTAACGTAGGTAACCACATTCATGAACAGTGCCATTCAAGGTTTCCTTTTCACCGACATTGTGTATAAACACACACACACACATTTGTGTAAATCGGTCCAAAGTGGGAGACCAGATGCTAGGGGCAAGCAGCCCCTTAGCTTTCCAAGATGACACATAGAGGGAGGACTGGGTGGGTTACATTATTGTCATAGGCTGGTCGAGATCGGCAGCATTGCCTCGTTTTAAGAAATATCGGCAACAAGATTGACCCCCCCTCGATTGTGATGGTTTGAAATCAGCTATTTGTTTTCCTCGGAGATTCTGAGCAGTTTTTAAACATTTGCAATATTATTTTTTCTGTGACAGATTAACAGAATTGGCGAGTGGAAGGGAGAGGCAAATAGAGGGAAAGGGAAGAGAGAGGAGGAGACTGGGAAACAGGAAAGAGAGAAGAGAGGCAGATTTGGAAAGAGGGAGATAGATGGGAGCAGAAAGAGAGGGAAGGGTAAGAGAAAGAGAGGGACATGGAGAGAAGGAAAGGGGGAAGATCGAGACATACCTCGACACTGCCAAGTAACCCATCAATTATTTATTCACACACACACACACACACACACACACACAAATGCTTTACTCATTTACAAATGCTTTACATTAGTACTCACCTAATGCTTTGCATTAGGTGAGTACACACACACACACACACACACACACACACACACACACACACACACACACACACACACACCCACGCACACCGGTGGTCTGATAGCTGAGTGGACAGCGCGCATTACTCGTAATTCTGTGACGCGGGTTAGATTCCCGGACTAAGCAGAAACAAATGGGCAAAGTTTCTTTCACTTTGATGCCTCTGTTACCTAGCAGTAAATAGGTACCTGGGAGTTAGACAGCTGTTACAGAGCTGCTTCCTGTGTGTATGGGGGGGTGGGAGTAGTAGTAGCTAGTTACAGTTGATTGACAGTTGAGAGGCGGGTCGAAAGAGCAAAGCTCAACCCACGCAAGAACAACTAGGTGAATACACACACACACACACACACACACACACACACACACACACACACACACACACACACACACACACACACACATACACACACACACACAAAGACTTTTCACAATCACTGTTGCCAATTACCGCGTGTAACTCAGGAAACACAGTGTTATCAACTCGAGCGACGGTAAAGAGGTTATCTCCAGCGGAAAATATTGGTAACCAATACTTTTACAACTTTGCGTGAGCATTTATATATTATTTAGGAGGGCGTGTAGGTCATTTAATATATTAAAAAAAATAAAGGTTTTCTTTTGTGTCTCCTTGTTTGGGTTGTTTATTCTTTGAAGGTGGGGTTTGTATATGTATACTTGTATATGTATACTTGTATATGTATACTTGTATATGTATACTTGTATATGTATACTTGTATATGTATACTTGTATATGTATACTTGTATATGTGTATATGAAGTTTTATGATAGTATTTTGCTAGGCTAAGATTGCAAGATTTGGCTGTTTCAGCCCCACCACCTTTTTCAATTTAGGCCATCTACTGCATCACCCTCTCGTTACTGGTCAGAAACTGTGTGTTTGTGTGGTTGAAGCAGCTTGTGTGGTTGCAGTGCCTTGTTTGTGTGGTAGCAGAAACTGTGTGGTTGAAGCAGCTTGTGTGGTTGCAGTGCCTTGTTTGTGTGGTTGAAGCAGCTTGTGTGGTTGCAGTGCCTTGTTTGTGTGGTTGAAGCAGCTTGTGTGGTTGCAGTGCCTTGTTTGTGTGGTTGAAGCAGCTTGTGTGGTTGCAGTGCCGTGTTTGTGTGGTTGAAGCAGCTTGTGTGGTTGCAGTGCCGTGTTTGTGTGGTTGAAGCAGCTTGTGTGGTTGCAGTGCCTTGTTTGTGTGGTTGAAGCAGCTTGTGTGGTTGCAGTGCCTTGTTTGAATGGTTAAAGCTAAATAAACACTTCAAACATTGTAATTTAACATCTCCCAGGTAACATGGTTGAGGCGTCGCGATCTACATATCCTGACAGCCGGACACGTCACCTACTCCGCCGACGACAGGTTCCAGGTAGGTGAGCCCTCGTCCCCTGGCACCCTCACCTGTCGGGGGGTAGAAATAGCCTAAGCTGACCAGACCACACACTAGAAGTTGAAGCGACGACGACGTTTCGGTCCGTCCTGGACCATTCTCAAGTCGATTTGAGAATGGTCCAGGACGGACCGAAACGTCGTCGTCCCTTCAACTTCTAGTGTGTGGTCTGGTCAACTTACTTCAGCCACGTTATTGTGACTCATCGCCTGCATAGCCTAAGCTATTCTATCCCTTTGAGATGTATTTCTTTCTTGTCTCAATAAACATACTTGAACTCGCTTGTCGTCCTGCAGCTGAGGGCGCTACCTCAGCCGCCTCCTAGCACTCTTGCTTATCTTTAGGTTATCTTGAGATGATTTTGGGGCTTTAGTGTCCCCGCGGCCCGGTCCTCGACCAGGCCTCCACCCCCAGGAAGCAGCCCGTGACAGCTGACTAACACCCAGGTACCTATTTTACTTCTAGGTAACAGGGGCATCAGGGTGAAATAAACTCTGCCCATTGTTTCTCGCCGGCGCCTGGGATCGAACCCAGGACCACAGGATCACAGTCCAGTGTGCTGTCCGCTCGGCCGACCGGCTCCCCAGCTTCTGTAACGTCACTCTACTTATATGGGGGGCCGGTGGCTGAGCGGACAGAACACTGGACGCGTGATCCTGTGGTTCCGGGTTCGATCCCGGACGCCGGCGAGAAACAATGGGCAGAGTTTCTTCCACCCTGATACCCCGGTTACCTAACAGTAAAAAGGTACCTGGGAGTTAGTCAGCAGTCACGGGCTGCTTCCTAGGTGTGGAGGCCTGGTCGAGGACCGGGCCGCGGGGACACTAAAGCCCCGAAATCATCTCAAGATAACCTCAAGACGATGATAGGTTCAAGTTAGGTGAATCAGGAGGTTTATCTCTTAGCACCTTCAACCTCTAACTCTTACTAATAGTTCAAACCGCAATCAATCTACCCCAGGCAGTCCTAGAACCCAAGGTTCGATTCCCGACCGTAACAGAAAAGAGCCGTTTTTTTCATCTGATGCGCCTGTTCGCCTAGAACTAAATAGGTACGTGGGAGCAAGACAGCTGCTATTGGATGCATTCTGGGGATGTGCTAGAGAAATATTAGTTGTTTACATGAAAGAGAAAATTACGACAGAAGTTGATATATAAGACAACAGTCTGATAGAAATTTGGAGTCCAAATGCTAACAATTTGAGCCTTCAAGTAAAAAATATAACTATGAAAAAATATAACGAAGATATATATATAACGATATATATATATATATATATATATATATATATATATATATATATATATATATATATATATCGTCGTTTTCCCTAATTGTCATATTTTCGGTATAAAAAGTCGTAATTTGCCACTCAAAATATGTGCAATGAGCGAGAATTCGGCTCAAAATGACGCTTATGAATCATATTCTCGATTTTCCAATATGTTGTAAAATTTGGGTAAAATTTGATCCATCGCTGAGTTTACTAATTCACGTCACGATCCACAAGGGCCGTGACGAGGGTAACTTCCTGTTACCTTCTTTCCTTAATTTCCCTTCTCCTGATATTTAAAACTTGTGAATTGCAAATTGAAATTGAAAACTTCATCCTAAAATTCTGAGTGTCTTAACAGAAAACGAGGAGAATTAAATCGGGGGAGGGAGTTGGGTAAATGTAACAGCCCCATAAGTGCAATTATGCACTGTTTATGACAGTAAGAAAGCGTACTTATTACACTTAGTATTAAATCATACTGTCAATTCGGAGGATGGGTTGCTAATAGTTCCCCCTCCCATAGACACTTATGCAATAGACTCCCCCCTCTAAAAACAGTTTTCCTTCATTGCATCCCGTTCTCTGTCTCCCCATTTCCCTGCTTTCTATTGTCTCCCGTCTTCCCTTTTTCTATATCCTCGCCTTTTCAGGTTGCACTCTGCCAAAAATACGAATATTCAAATAAAAAATCAAGCCGGTTATGATAAAAAAAAGGCCTGTTAATTGTTCAAAACCAGATTTTTGAGTTGCTTTCGGTAGATTGTGTTGGACCAAGATTGATTGCGTGGGCTCCGAGTGGTTGTGTGGGCTCCAGTTGATTGCATATATTACGATTGATTGTGTGGGACCACGATGGAAAGATTAGGTTCTAATATACAAAGTAATCTCAACCTGTTGTATTAGAGATTCTATTCCCAATGAAGAAGAGGACCAGCTTCCGCTGAAAAAAGTGTCATCAATTTACCACTGTAAATGACGCTTCAAAATCCCCTGTAAATGAAGCTTCAGGAACCCCTGTAAATGAAGCTTCAAAACCCCCTGTAAATGAAACTTCAGGATCCCCTGTAGATGAAGCTTCAGGATCCCCTGTAAATGAAGCTTCAGGATCCCCTGTAAATGAAGCTTCAGGATCCCCTGTATATGAAGCTTCAGGATCCCCTGTAAATGAAACTTCAGGATTCCCTGTAAATGAAACTTCAGGATCCTCTGTAAATGAAGCTTCACTAGAAGACGACGGGTTATAATAGGAATCTCTTGCTAACCGGACTCGCAAACTGCCCGTCTTAGTAGGAAACATAATTGTGATTTACAGGAATGTTCCCTCTTCGTGACCCTCTGTCCATTGACGGGAGCCTAATAGACCTGAGACAGTCCGCAGAGATTGGGAGATGGAGAGAGAGACATAGGAATGAGGAGAGAGAGCGGAAGAGAAGGGAGCAGGAAAGCGAGGATCAGTGAAAGAGAATAAGGCGAAACAGAATGACAGGGACGCACAAATGTGGGGTAATGAGAGGAACGAAAAGAAACGGAAAATGACGAGACGTCTGAAAGATGGAAAGAGAAGAAATATAAGTAAAATTAAAGAGCTGAATTGTGAAAGAATGTCAACAAAGAATGAATCAAAATAATGGCAAGAAAGGAGAATAGAGGGAAGCGCAAAGCAGAACGAATGAGTTAGAAAGGGAGCCGGTCGGCCGAGCGGACAGCACGCTGGACTTGTGATCCTGTGGCCCCGGGTTCGATCCCAGGCGCCGGCGAGAAACAATGGGCAGAGTTTCTTTCACCCTATGTCCCTGTTACCTAGCAGTAAAATAGGTACCTGGGTGTTAGTCAGCTGTCACGGGCTGCTTCCTGGGTGTGGAGGCCTGGTCGAGGACCGGGCCGCGGGGACACTAAAGCCCCGAAATCATCTCAAGATAACCTCAAGAAGGAAGCGAGGTAGAATGAAAACAATAAAAAAATAAAATTCCCACTCAGGTAAAGGAGAGATTGCTTTCACCACCCTAACAAATCTCCCTTCGTAATGCGGCCGCCTGAATCAGAGAAAGCAATTAAAGTTGGAGAAAGTATGCCGGAGTCTTAGCAGTAGTTAGTGTCTGTTGTCTGCCGTGGTCGACAGAAATGAAAAGATTATAGGAAACGAGAGAGAGAGAGAGAGAGAGAGAGAGAGAGAGAGAGAGAGACGAAGAGATAGAGAGAGACGAGAGAGAGAGAGAGAGAGAGAGAGAGAGAGAGAGAGAGAGAGAGAGAGAGAGATGAGAGAGAGAGAGAGAGAGAGAGAGAGAGAGAGAGAGAGAGAGAGAGAGAGAGAGAGAGAGAGAGAGAGAGAGAGAGAGAGAGAGAGAGAGAGAGAGAAAGAGGGAGAGAGAGAGAGAGAGAGAGAGAGAGAGAGAGAGAGAGAGAGAGAGAGAGAGAGAGAGAGAGAGAGAGAGAGAGAGAGAGAGAGAGAGAGAGAGAGAGAGAGAGAGAGAGAGAGAGAGAGAGAGAGAGAGAGAGAGAGAGAGAGAGAGAGAGAGAGAGAGAGAGAGAGAGAGAGAGAGAGAGAAAGAGGGAGAGAGAGAGAGAGAGAGAGAGAGAGAGAGAGAGAAAGAGGGAGAGAGAAAGAGGGAGAGAGAAAGAGGGAGAGAGAAAGAGAGAGAGGAAGAGAGAAAGAGGGAGAAAGAGGGAAATTTCTGTGTATTTAAATTAGAATTAACAAACCACTTATCAATATGGACTGGGCGGCGAGGAATTAGCCAATCAGATCACTGGATGCAGACCTCCTCACACCTCTCAATACAGCCAATTAATATGAACATCATAAACATAACTTGATAGGCCTGACATCTAACATGCGTTTGGTAGCATGGAAGATAGGTCAACAATCGACTAATTAAATCATTCGATTGTTTACACTTAAAAGTGTTTGATTTTATGTATTTATTAAATATTTATTTCAAAATTTTAGCAAGTATTTTCAGTCCCCTAAGTTGAAAAAAGAATTCTAAAGTATTAGAGTTACTTTTCTGAGGTTTTAATAGAGTTTTAAAACATTTTATATAAAAATAAATTATATAAATAAAAATATTTTATTTATCTTTTAAATTTGCATTAGATTAATAAAAGAAATATTGCTAATATTTAAAATAAATATAAGAAAGAATTACTAAAGCTTGAGCAACTATAAGCACTGTAGAGTTGATTTAGCGTCAGCTCTCTGGCAGGTGGTTTGATCCAGGTAAATCACTTCACTACAGAAAACGGAGACAAATTGCTGATAAAAAGTTTAACATCACAAGCCTTTGTTGCAATAATACTCGTGATATGGCATTATCATGAGTCATATTAACACATTCAAGTATTGAAAATAATTTTATGAAACTTATCATAGGAGTGGGTTCGTTAAAGAATCTTTTTTCGTCGGGTTTTTATGTTCATTTTTGTTTTATGATTTAAAAAATTATATTTATTCCCATTAACGTTGATGGTTATGTTGGCAGGCGGACGAAAATTATTAATAATAAAATTGTTAGATATAATTCAATCATACCAAACTGTACTATTTTTTTTATGAAAAATTATGAAATGACAACTGGTAGTGGGTGCCTAAAATAACTTGCAAATCTCTCTTATTCTTAAATACAGTTTCCATATTGTATCTTAAAATATATGAAATATAACAAATATTATAAAAGTGCTAACTAAATTAATTTTTGCAAGTATAATGGAAATATAATAGAATAATAACAAATTACTACAAAACACACAAATAGCTCCATCTTATACCCGAGGCAGCATTTTTAGCTATTGAATACTGTGTATATAAACATCTCGTCCGACTAAGTCATCTCTTCCCCACGGTCGAAAATTTGCGTTATTAGCGTTGCTGTCTTTGACAGTCCCGTTAGCAGGAGCTAGAATTACTACTGGGTAATGGAGATAACCAAAAGTTAACTAGCAGCCCGACGAAAAATTAATGTTAATTTGTAACCATTAACCATTGGGTAATAGTTAAATCCATTACCAAGTGGTAATTACAGATGCATCTAACGGGACTGTCAAGGACAGCAACGCCAATAACATAAATTTTCGACCGCGGGGAAGAGATGACTTAGTCGGACGAGATGTTTGTACATAATATTCAATAGCTGAGAATGCTGCCTCGGTTATAAGATGGAGCTATTTGTGTGTTTTGTAGTAATTTATGTTATTATTCTATTATATTTCCATTGTACTTGCAAAAATTAATTTAGTTAGCACTCTTAAAATATTTATGTTATGTTTTATATATTTTAAGATACAATTTGGAAACTGTGTTTAAGAATTATGAGAATTTGTAAATTAGTTTAGACACTTAATACGAATTGTCATTTAATATTTTTTCATAAAATTAGTAATGTTTGGTATGATTGAATTATATTTAACAATATAATCATTAAAAATAATTTGGGTCCGCCTGCCACCATAACCGGCAATGTTAGTGGGAATAAACAGAATTTGTTATATAACGAAAATGTCCATAAAGAAACGAAAAAAATTACCCTTAAACGAACCCACTAATATGATAAGTTTCAGAAACTTATTTTCAATACTTGAATGTTAATATGACTCATGATAATGCCATATCACGAGTAATATTGCAACAAAGGTTTGTGATCAACTTTTTATCAGCAATTTGTCTCCGTTTTCCTTAGCTAAGTGATTGTAGGTGGTTTGATCCAAGTAAGAGAGCCGACACAAAATATACTCAACAGTACTTTTAGTTGCTCAAGCATTAGTACTTTTTTTATAAATTTGAAATGGTACTAATATTTGTTTTTAATAACTTAATAAATAATTTAAAAAATGATTAATATATTTTTATTTCGTAAATTTGTTTATATAAAATGTTTTAAATACATATTAAAACCTCAGAATAATAACTCAAATACTTTATAATGCATAATCAGTTTTATCAATTACATGGATTTTAAAAAATTTTAAGTAAATATTAACTTATACACAATATGAAGCGCTTAAAAATTCAAGATGCATATGAATTAGTTGAATGATTGTTGGCGTATCTTTCAAGCGTAGCAGGCCTATCAACTTATTTATATGATGTTCTTGCCAAATTGCCACGTCTGTATTATGATTTAAGTAATTTGTATTTATAACAATATTGGTAAAAGACACAAAGGAAATATGCACACAGAGAAGTATCCAGTGTCCAGCGATGGGAATATACCCTCACCCTGTGTAGGAAATGAGCCAGAGTAATCAAGTATCCCATTGAACAGATCTACATACATAACGCCACTTAAATGAATATAAAGCAGTCGCTTTCTGCCTTTCTGCCCCTATCCACACAGTTTATAAGTGTACTCGCGGCGAGGCAGATGCAGGCGAATATGGATTGCTTGGCCTGCACTGTGGAAAATCATGCTGTCGGCACTCTAGATACGCCCATATAATGTTCTCCCTCCCATATAACCGCTTAACTATTGTGTTCTTCCCTGGCCCTTGTTCTCCCTCTCAGATAAGCCCTTAACCACCTGTTCTGTTGTTCTCCCGGCAGGTTGTTCACGCGGAGGGCAGCGAGGAGTGGACACTGGTGGTGAGGTACGCCCAACAGAGGGACTCCGCCGTCTACGAGTGTCAGGTCAACACTGATCCTAAACTCTCGCGGCCTGTTACCCTCAATGTCCTCAGTAAGTGCACTTTAATAAGACTTACTCGAAATCCTCAGATTAGGCAAAATAGTAATTAATTTTGTCAATAAAGATGTTAATAATAAGAAGTAAGTGCTGAGTCGTCCTTGAAGGGTTAGGATAAGTGGTGAGTCGTCCTCGATGGTTTTATGTAGGGCGGTCCACCCCCCCCCCCCTTTACTATGTAGTTCAAAACCCATTTTGTGGTTCACTTGCCCCCTCCCCGGACCCCGACTGATTGATTGATTGATGAAGATTAAGCCACCCAAGAGGTGGCACGGGCATGACCTCACGACCCTATGTAGTCCCCTGGACGTCCCCTGGCCATCCCAAAACGTCCCCTGGCCATCCCAAATGTCCCCTGGCCATCCCAAAACGTCCCCTGGCCATCCCAAAACGTCCCCTGGCCATCCCAAATGTCCCCTGGCCATCCCAAAACGTCCCCTGGCCATCCCAAAACGCCGCCTGGACATCCCAAAACGCCCCTTAGCGATCCCAAGGCCATCACAAGAGGAGAAGAATGCGAGGGAGCAATCATTATGGTAATTGACGACCTATATATTTTAATATTTTGCATTTTCTTCCGTTCTCGCTGGCCATTAGAGAGGCTATTATTGTCCCTGAGATACGAGGCTCTTGTTCTCTCTCTCTCTTTCTCTCTCTCTCTCTCTCTCTCTCTCTCTCTCTCTCTCTCTCTCTCTCTCTCTCTCTCTCACTCACTCCCTCCCTCTGTCTCACTCCCTCTCTCTCTATTTCAGGAGGAACTGCGAGAGAGATTCCTATTCCATTTGCACATGCTAATATTTTGCAATTAATTCACTTGTTGTGAAGTTATGTCCAAAGTTTGATGTCCTTCAATGATACCCTTGAAGTGACGTCAATGTCTGACGTCCAGTGACGTCAATGTCTGACGTCAATGTCTGACGTCCAGTGACGTCAATGTCTGACGTCCAGTGACGTCAATGTCTGACGTCCAGTGACGTCAATGTCTGACGTCCAGTGACGTCAATGTCTGACGTCAATGTCTGACGTCCAGTGACGTCAATGTTCTAATGCCAGTATTTCCTCATAAGTTTTTATTTTATTTACATGTCGCTCCCAATCTCCCTTTGAAGTTATTATTCTCTCAAGTTATCATTCCTGAATTTACCTGAGGACCATCTCTAGTGGCCTCGACTGGGACAGGAAGCCGGTGACTTGTTAACAATGCCGCCATTAGACCTTTCAGTCCTGCCGGAATGAGGCAGGAAGCGTTATGAAGCTTTATTGAGCGTCTTTATCGAGTCGCCAGAAACTTTATTGAGTCGCCAGAAACTTTATTGAGTCGCCAGAAACTTTATTGAGTCACCAGAAACTTTATTGAGCGTCTTTATTAAGGCACCTGAAGCTTTATTGAGCGTCTTTATTAAGGCACCAGAAGCTTTATTGAGCGTCTTTATTAAGGCACCTGAAGCTTTATTGAGCGTCTTTATTAAGGCACCTGAAACTTTATTGAGCGTCTTTATTAAGGCACCAGAAGCTGTATTGAGCGTCTTTATTAAGGCACCAGAAGCTTTATTGAGCGTCTTTATTAAGGCACCTGAAACTTTATTGAGCGTCTTTATTAAGGCACCAGAAGCTTTATTGAGCGTCTTTATTAAGGCACCAGAAGCTTTATTGAGCGTCTTTATTAAGGCACCAGAAGCTTTATTGAGCGTCTTTATTAAGGCACCAGAATCTTTATTGAGCGTCTTTATTAAGGCACCTGAAGCTTTATTGAGCGTCTTTATGAAGGCACCAGAAGCTTTATTGAGCGTCTTTATGAAGGCACCAGAATCTTTATTGAGCGTCTTTATTAAGGCACCTGAAGCTTTATTGAGCGTCTTTATTAAGGCACCAGAAGCTTTATTGAGCGTCTTTATTAAGGCACCAGAAGCTTTATTGAGCGTCTTTATTAAGGCACCTGAAGCTTTATTGAGCGTCTTTATTAAGGCACCTGAAGCTTTATTGAGCGTCTTTATTAAGGCACCTGAAGCTTTATTGAGCGTCTTTATTAAGGCACCTGAAGCTTTATTGAGCGTCTTTATTAAGGCACCTGAAGCTTTATTGAGCGTCTTTATTAAGGCACCTGAAGCTTTATTGAGCGTCTTTATGAAGGCACCAGAAGCTTTATTGAGCGTCTTTATTAAGGCACCTGAAGCTTTATTGAGCGTCTTTATTAAGGCACCTGAAACTTTATTGAGCGTCTTTATTAAGGCACCAGAAGCTTTATTGAGCGTCTTTATTAAGGCACCAGAAGCTTTATTGAGCGTCTTTATTAAGGCACCTGAAGCTTTATTGAGCGTCTTTATTAAGGCACCAGAAGCTTTATTGAGCGTCTTTATTAAGGCACCAGAAGCTTTATTGAGCGTCTTTATTAAGGCACCTGAAACTTTTAAATAACAATATTTAACAGTGTCATCCACTTCATGTTCACGAGAACATCCTCATAATCCACCTCAAGTAATCCATCCCACGTGAGAAGGATTATATGAGGATATCCTCATAATGCCATTTCGTGAGTTGGGGATTTTTGGTTTAGTAACCAACAGTAACTAGCGCTTCAGACAAGCTATAGTAAGCGTATAGTATACTATATCTTCCGACAAGCTATAGTAACACGTCCAAGGTAACTGGACCAAGTAGCCTGTTCTCACTGTGTGTTACTACGACAAAAGTGTAATTATTTTGACCAATCAGAACTCACGCACCCAATCAACCCGCCAAAAGCTGATTTTTAGACGAGAACTAAAGTAAAGTTTGTTTATGCACATAATTATACATACCTCTCGGTTTATATATTATATAATATCACTATATCGGTTTATATATACATAATATATATAGCCAGAGGTGGTACTCCCTTCCATATACAAAAATATATATTATATACTATTCATTATATATATATATATATATACATAATATATATATATTCCTTGATCTAGGTAATCAACGATTTAGTATTTTTTTCCGTAGTCTGTGATTATTATTTTTAACTAATTTAAACAATACATAAAATATTTAGAATAGATAAAGATGCATTAAAATATGTATTTCCAGCATTTTTCATCAATAATTTACATACAAGTATAAATGATTCACAAACCCATGTGAATGTTTCACAAACTCACGTAAATGATTCACAAACAGTAAATGATCGTCTGCACCCCGCAGGCGCTGGCCGTGGAGAAGTGACGGCACCCAAGGCGCCTAAGGTCTTCGTGGCTAACAACACAGCCTCCACTAAGGATGGTGAGAGAGAGACTTTTTCCTTGTAGGTCATGGGGGTTGGCCAGAGTCCCTTCTTGCCTCGTATCCCAGTTACTTCCCTTATCTCAGGACCTTGGTCTCGTATTCCAGCTCCTTGTCCTCGTATCCTAGCCACTTCATCTATCTTAGCACCTACGCCTCGTATCCCAGCACCTTGGCCTCGTATCCCAGCACCTTGTCCTGGTATCCCAGCACCTTGGCCTCGTATCCCAGCACCTTGGCCTCGTATCCCAGCACCTTGGCCTCGTATCCCAGCACCTTGGCCTCGTATCCCAGCACCTTGGCCTCGTATCCCAGCACCTTGGCCTCGTATCCCAGCACCTTGGCCTCGTATCCCAGCACCTTGGCCTCGTATCCCAGCACCTTGGCCTCGTATCCCAGCACCTAGGCCTCGTATCCCAGCACCAAGGCCTCGTATCCCAGCACCTAGGCCTCGTATCCCAACTCCTTGGCCTCGTATCCCAGCACCTTGTCCTCGTATCCCAGCACCTTCGCCTCGTGTGTCTTTGCCTAGCGCTATAAAGCCATGTTAGTTTAGCTGTTCCTCCAAATAGTTACAGTATTGAAATATATTGGGTCCAAATTCCGTGACAAGACAGAAGCGTTTGGGCAAGATTTGATTTCACCCGAGGCCTCTGTTCACCTAGTATATATATATTGGGACCTGGAAGTTAGGCATCTGTTAAAGGTTGCATCCTTCTTGAGGTTATCTTGAGATGATTTCGGGGCTTTTAGTGTCCCCGCGGCCCGGTCCTCGACCAGGCCTCCACCCCCAGGAAGCAGCCCGTGACAGCTGACTAACACCCAGGTACCTATTTTACTGTACTATAACAGTAACGTTGCAACCCGTTCTCGCACTTGCTTATAGTCAATATTGGCTTATTTAATAATTTCATATGTGACATACTAATTGATTGTGAATATTTTAATTTACCTTGAAAAGCTTCATAGAAAACACCGACCTCACCTAACCTTCTTAGTATGTTAAGATAAGCATCTTATTGCTTCTTATTTACAATTATTACTTAACCTATCAACGGTATACGTAAAGTAATAATTGTAATTAAGAACCAATAAGATGCTTATCTTAACATACTAAGAAGTTTACGTGAGGTCGGTGTTTTCTATGAAGCTTTTCAAGGTAAACTAAAATATTCACAATCAATTAGTATGTCACATACGCACTTATTAAATAAGCCAATATTGACTACCAGCAAGTGCGAGAACGGGTTGCAACCACTACCTCTTCTTTCCCCACCTCCCCCAGGACACCTCAGGGTGGAGATCCAGGGCGCTCGGGAGCTGTACATCGAGGAGGGGTCCTCCCTGTCCCTGACGTGTCTGGTGACCTCATCCAAGGGACCGTCCACCCCCGTCTACTGGTACCACGACACCAATCTCATCGACTATAACTCCCCTAGAGGCGGGGTCAACCTCAAGGTTGGTGGGGGGGAGATTGGGACTGGTCTGGGGGGATGGGGATTGGTCAGAGGGATGGGGGCAAGTCTGGGAGGGGTGGAAGGGAGGGACTCAACAAAACATAACCTCAGACAATCTAATACAGGAAAATGAACTCTGGAGAGCTAATTTTTAGATTTCCTTCTCAAGTGAGACAATATATATATAAATATATATATACATACTTTTTTTAACAACCTAAAAGGGATATATATATATAATTTATTTAGGATATTTTGGTAGCAGTCTTTCTTGTAAACATATGATGTTGAATATGACAGAAAGGGTTAGATTAATGATTATAACCCGCATCTTCTCAATATTGCTTTTGTGTTTCTTCACTGTCGAAGGAAATTGACAAATTAACTCTCCAAAGTTCATTTTCGCATTTTTCATTATGGTCTGACGTCTAGGGATGCGTTTTACAAGGTCACTCCTTACGTTCTTAAAAACAAGTTTACCAGTTTAGCACAGGCTCTACACACACACACACACACACACACACACACACACACACACACACACACACACACACACACACACACACACACACACACACACACACACACACACACACATTTTCCTCCCAAATCTATTTACTTTTAAAATGTGGAGGCGTTTTATGGATATCCAGGCCATATCCTCTTGACTTGCATCTCCGTACAAAACGCAACTGTTTCACCTAACAAGAAGCTCAAAACGTGCAAATGTTTTGGCTAACCGCCAACGTACGAACCCAACCAACCCTTCTAACCCACTAGATCGATACAGAGAAAAGGTTGGTATTACGGTGCTTTAGGAAATACTAATACGTCGTGTTCTCTAAACGGTTTAGTGAATTACGTTACAAATAGGACGTAATGGTAAGAGGACGGACTAGGATATCTGTTCCTAGTATCTACTAGACCAGGAGGTATAGTTAATATAGTATAACTAGCATAACACTAACTCATTATAGCTAACTCAAGAAACTAGTTCAAAACGTGCTTGTTCCACTTTTTACGAGTTTCCCCTGCCAATCTCTTCTTCCCACCCGTCCGCCAGATCGACCAGGGGCGAGGGGAGACTACGACGCGCCTGGTGGTGTCTGCCGTTGGACCTGGGGACTCCGGCATGTACTCCTGCGTCCCTCCGGGTTCCCATCCGGCCACCGTTCTAGTCCATGTCCAGAAAGGTGAGTCCTCGAGTTCAATTAGAGTCCGCAAGCTCCTAGAATCAATCTATGATCTTATGTGGAGTCCTAGTACACTCTTAGAGCTCATTACAGAACTCTCTATCATGGATCTGAGTGCGTGAGGACTCAAAGTCCTCACGCACTCAGATTCATTATAGGATCCTGTACTCTGCTCCTGTACACATCTGTGTGTAAAACTAGTAGAGTAAGGCTTACCATGAGCTATGTAATCATTCAGTAAATCATTTATATTATATATCATCATCTGAAGTAGACCTTCGTATACCGACAGGTGTTTTAATGGCATTGCGACCGGTATTGACTTATGGATATTTCGAAGATATTAACATATAATTACAGGTCGATCTGCGGGTGTTTTTCATGATTTTGTTCCTTTGGTTATGTCAGCAAGTGTTGATCTATGGCAATTCTTTAGACAATTATAATAAAATATTTATTATAAATGACAATTATTTAGACAGGTATCTATGGTAATTATTTAGACAGGTGTCAATGGCAATTATTTAGACAGGTGTCAATGGCAATTATTTAGACAGGTGTCTATGGTAATTATTTAGACAGGTGTCTATGGTAATTATTTAGACAGGTGTCTATGGTAATTATTTAGACAGGTGTCTATGGTAATTATTTAGACAGGTGTCTATGGCAATTATTTAGACAGGTGTCTATGGTAATTATTTAGACAGGTGTCTATGGCAATTATTTAGACAGGTGTCTATGGCAATTATTTAGACAGGTGTCTATGGCAATTATTTAGACAGGTGTCTATGGTAATTATTTAGACAGGTGTCTATGGTAATTATTTAGACAGGTGTCTATGGTAATTATTTAGACAAGCATAAATTGATGGGTATTTATTTTCCCTTGCTGTTATTATGGCGTTATTTTGTCTGTCGTCTCATTGGATATGTTTATTCATAATAATAATATTTTCATTTACTCAGGTTTTACTCACTGATATTTGTTGTTCTCAGGGGAGCATGAGGCTGCTATACAACAAGGAGGTCTAGATGAGGCTGCCAGCGCCTCCTCACAAGTAGCATCCTCTTCCCTCATCATCCTCCTCATCCTCCTCATCTTCTCTACCTATCTTCTTGATCTTCTAGACCAGTTTATGGCTCATTCTCTGCCCTCATACACTTCCCTCTCCTTTATTTGTTTCTGTTCCACGTACTTCCTCTCTTCTCTCGCTTTCTCATCTCCGAGAGATGCTGTTTGCAGATGGATCTCCCATCTTCTCGGGCGCTTACAACACCTGTCATAGAGGCTTGACTTGTACTGCTGTTATGAGGATAAATTTCAATAACGTGATTGAAAATGATCGATCAACACGTATGGTAAGCTAATGTGGCGAGGCTTCGGGTCAATCTTTCTCTCTTATCTACTACTATTCTCCGTTTTCTCTCTCCCTTATCCTGCCTCCCAAGGCGAAGAGTGGAGGCGCTGTTAATTCTGCTCGACTTGGTATAGCATTTTCTTAATGACATCACGGACCCAGCAGAGGCGAGTTCAAGCCATCGGCGCTCGTCTGGTAGTCTGCCGGAGAGGGGGATCTTACTTGAGCAACGGAGAAAGTACTAGAGGGAAGGAGGAGAGTACTTAAAACACGTCAGGTGATATCTGATGTGCTCTGTGATGTCAAGTGGAAGTCCTGCAAACGATATCGTCTGGTTTAATGGTGCGATGTGGCGTGCAAGTCCGGAGGCTTTGAGATCTCACATATTTTTGGTTCTGCAAGATTTACATGATGGCAGGAGACTTTAGGCTGTGTCTCCGAATCTTCTTTAGTACCCTATGTGGTAGGGCAACCCGTCCTCTTAGAAAATAACGTCACTTTTGGCTCTTATGCGCACTATGGCGAAATTTGGACGTAATTTGAAATGAAATCGACTCACAAAAGTGACGTTCTGTCCCGTTTTCTGTTCGAGTCGTCCGGCTTACTAGGTAAGGTTAGAAGAGGAAACTTTCAATTAACGTTTTTCATAACGTTTTGAAACTTTATGAGAATTTCCTGCCCACCTAACCTATCAGAGGACCCTTAACTTACTGTTGTTGAAAAAAACAATCCCAAATTTATTTTCATTTTTGTTTTCATTTTCAAATTACGTCCACTTTCGGCCATACGGGCAAACGGCCAAAAGCGACGTTATTTTTAAGAGGACAGGTTTCAGACGAGATGCAATGTCTTGTGTAAGAAAGTCTGGAGTTAGCCAAACATAAGTATCAACTTCTGAAGTTTGATTACATCTTAAAACATCACATGACATCAATAGTTTCTTGACAAGCTTGAGTAACGTTAAGTTGCCGAAGAGACATCATAAACCAATCAGGAAATTATGTAAATTTTTCCCTCGGAAATGGGACGTCAGAGTGACATCAGAGGATGGGGAATCGGGTCCCATCACACACAGACATCGGACGTCAGAGTGACATCGCTTCGTCAAGCCGGCCACAAGGAAACATTAAGAACTTTTTAGAGGGCACGTAGTGAGTTTTGTATTTCTGATGTTCAGCTTTAAAGTTCAATAAAGAAACATTCAATAAACTTTCTTTTTATTGACCTTTACACCATACAAATAAAAATTACAAAGTTATTTTAGTTCAAAAAGATATAATTACAATTAGAAATGAACTCTAAATATAATGAGTAGCACAAAAGATAGTTTGCTCTATTTAGAGAGAGAGAGAGAGAGAGAGAGAGACAGAGACAGAGACAGAGACAGAGAGACAGAGAGAGAAACCTAACACATTAATACCACAACTCAAAATTATCCATCTTCTCCCAAACACACATTTATCAAGCTCCTCCATCCATTCCCTCCGTAACTTCTCAGTAATTTACATCAAAGTCGAATGTAGAATTTACAACATTCTGAAAACGATTTAAAAATGTTTAAAATTAAATGTATGAAGAGATAAAGCAACATTTCCACCTATAAAATGTGTAAATATTATTCTTTATATTTATGAAAGCTATTTAGGACTTGGAATAACTTTCATTCCAGGCTGGATCTGGAATACTTAAAGCCGTCTTGGACAGACTTTTGATAAATGGTCGTCCTGGGTAGAGGGGAAGAGAAGGAGAGGGAGGGAGAGAGGAAGAGAAAGGGAAAAAGAGAGAGCACAAACTGACCAGTAGATGCACACACATACATGATGGGGGGCGGGGGCATGATCACCACATACAAGATTCTCAGAGGAATTGATAGGGTAGATAAAGACAGGCTATTTAACACAAGGGGCACACGCACTAGGGGACACAGGTGGAAATTAAGTGCCCAAATGAGCCACAGAGATATTAGAAAGAACTTATTTAGTGTCAGAGTGGTTGACAAATGGAATGCATTAGGAAGTAATGTGGTGGAGGCTGACTCCATACACAGTTCCAAGTGTAGATATGATAAGAGCCCAATAGGCTCAGGAACCTGTACACCAGTTGATTGACGGTTGAGAGGCGGGACCAAAGAGCATAGAGCTCAACCCCCCGTAAGCACAACTAGGTAAGCACACACACACACACACACACACACACACACACACACACACACACACACACACACACACACACACACACACACACACACAACCCCGCCCCCACAGCGGACCATCAACATAAAGCGAGGTCCGTTCCCTAATATTCAGCACAAAGTCTCGACCATAAAAATTCTCTGGGAATTAGGACAAGAAAATTTTCCACTACATGTCAGACATAGTTTTCTCAACTTTCTTCGTTTCTTTTGAATTATTTTTTCTCGTTCGTGTGTGTATTCATCTAGTTGTACTTGCGGGGGTTGAGCTCTGGCTCTTTGGTCCCGCCTCTCAACCGTCAATCAACAGGTGTACAGGTTCCTGAGCCTATTGGGCTCTATCATATCTACACTTGAAACTGTGTATGGAGTCAGCCTCCACCACATCACTTCCTAATGTATTCCATTTGTCAACCACTCTGACACTAACAAAGTTCTTTCTAATATCTCTGTGGCTCATTTGGGCACTTAATTTCCACCTGTGTCCCCTTGTGCGTATTCCCCTTGTGTTAAATAGCCTGTCTTTATCTACCAATGTGTGTGTGTGTATATATAACACTGGCATATTATTCATCACGTGTTAATTTCTTGGTGATTTACACGCATATATATATATAAGAATGTCTGGAGCTAGTCACAATCCAACTTTTCACCCTAATTCCTTTAGGGTGTGTGCCCAACATGGTCGGGTCAAGGTCGACTCAAGGGTAATGAGTGCCAATTGACACGATTCCAAAATATTATGTTTAATACTTTGTCCACAAAATAAAATAAAATCAAATCTAGCTATCACTCTAATGACTCCTCAAGGATTCGAACCTAGGTAGATAGAAGTGTCACCCCCCCCCCCTCCCCCATCCTGGCCATCGAGTACCATAACCACTACACCAGCACTTGCCAGTAGGCGTAAAAGATCGAGCGAGCTACACATCCCCCGGCAACACTCGTGGCTAATTTCCTCCGCAGTGATTTAATAATTTCCAGGAACATGCTAGGGTCGCACTGAGTATATATGGAATTTATAGTTTACATACACATGTATGAATCTAATTATGCATACCAACATGTATATAAACAAAAATTTGTGGCAATAATCTACATATCACATATGCGCTTGCTCCTGATTGGTCAATGTACTTGATAACGTCACTGCCTCCCTAGACCAGGAAATTTGATTTATTTTTCCCAAGCTGATTAAAAAGTAAAGTTTAAATCAGTGTTTTTTTTCCCCCCCACAGGAAAATCACGGGTGGAGGGGTAACTAAGCAAAATGAGGAGATATAGGGAAATGAGAAGGGAAAATGTGTATAAATTTATATAAACGTTTCAAAATGCTCAATAACTAATCAAAATTTCAAGAAAAATCTTATAAAACAATTTATTTGTGTTTATCTTGCAGTGTTTTTTTTTACAAACGTTTATGGTTGAAGATAAACGTTTATAGTTCGTCTCAGAACCTCCGTAACGAGACTCCCGTCAACGTTTCGCGCGGAAAAGATGAGATAAAGTTTGATGGGTAACAATGAAAAAAAGGTCCATAAACGTTTTTCCCAGCAATATAAACGTTGTTACTCTGCTATCAGCTGATCACGATGACTGCAAACGTTGTCAGGGAGTGATTGTGTGGTGACTGGTTCAGTTCTCCTCCCGTGGTGATGGTGGTGGCTGTGGTGATTGTGATGGTGGTGGTCCTGTTGGTGGTGCGATGCTGTAGCGTGAAAAGATCATTATGTTTATTGAATATTTTATCATTGGTTTGTTTACCTGGCCTTACTTACACGACAGTGTAACCTCACTGAGCTAAGAGACAAATATCCCATAATGAATCATTGTACGGTGCTTTATCAGACTCTCCTTATGTCTGTCTGTGTCTTACAGAACACGAGCCGCTGGGAACATTGACTCTGGGTGGGTGGTAAATATTATGATTCGATAGTTCGCGTCTTCACCACCAGGTGACTGAGCTAACCCGCTTCCCTGCCATCTTTACTAATTCCTTTCCTAACATAACATTAACAATCCTGCCCACTTACCACCCACTTTCCCCACCACAGGCAACCATTCCTGCCCTCCAGAAAATCCCTCCCCCTGTAGGGAGAGAGGAGGGAAGACAGGAGAAAAGATAAACTTTAAGTATCACCATTTTCCAAAACATTTTTCCCCCCCACACACCAAAAAAAATCTCGTCTACAGCAAAAACTGTAAACAATTATATAAATACGACTGTAGAAATCTAATTAATTTCCAGGAAAGTCTTGAAAATGCTCTTGCAGTAAGAACTCAAGGAACAAATCTTATAGAAAACGCAGAAACAAATCTTTAAAATACCCAGGAGCAAATGTAAAGAGATCACCGAGCAGAAAAAATACTCAGAAGCCTTTTTTATTTTTTAAAAGAAGATCCAAACCCAGTTTCGCAATGCTCTCGGGGGTACTCAAGAAGAAATGGAGAGGTTTGAGGTGTCCAAAATGCCTTCATTTTTCCCTTGCACTGCATGCTACTCTTTCCTCGAGGCGGCATAGCCAATGCCCCGTTGGAAGAGAAAGTCTTTTACACAAGAACGGGTGTAAATAGCTTGCAAGATCCAAGAGTGTGTGTGTTGAAACATGAAGAAAATTGGATCAAGAAGAGAATAAATTCGTTTAAGTAGGAACGAAATTGGTTCAGACGGAATGGAAATTGGGTCAAGTTGGATGGAAATTTATTGAGATATGAAGGAAATCGATTCAAATAAGAGGGGAAATTGGTTCGTTGTTTCTTCAAGGTTCCAGAGAAATGTAATCTACATTTCGAAGATTTCTCATTGCTAACACCGAGAAATTAATGGTTCATTTTTGAAACGTCACATGAGGCCGAAATTATTAAATAGAATAATTAAATGTAATATATACCCTAATTGTTAAAACAAAATTTATATAAATAACTGTTGTCCTACTAATTATAATATTGAAGATAACTATACAATTATTACTGTATATATTATAAAAAAAATTGTTTAAGTATTTATAATAAATAATAATTTATTAAAAATTGACTAAATTTGATTTTATAATAAATAAATTAATCATTTAAGATCATTATTACCAAATTCCCCATTCTTATCAAACGCGTTGTTAATTGAAAATAAATGATTACACTTAAAAGTCACTTGTATCGTGTCTCTTCTCTGTCTTGCTGTCTGCCTCTTCCCCCTGTCCGCCTTTCTGTCTATATTTCTGTCTCTGTCTTTCTATATATTCAGTGTACCAATCTCTGAGGGAGATTGAGAGAACGGACGAGCGAGAAAGAGAAGGAGAACGCGTATGTTTGAGGGATAACGATGGTCTTGCCATTT